TCCCCGCGCTCTTCGCCGCGCGCCGCCGCCTCGCCCTGGCCAGCAGCTCCAAGCACCGCTGCCTGCAGAGCGGCGCCGCCTTCCGCCGCGGCCTCGGCCCCGCGCCGGGACACGGTGAGAGCCGGGGAGCGAGGCGCGGCGCCCCGACCTCCCGCTCGCCCCTCTGCCGCCTCCCGCTCGCCCCTCTGCCGCCTCCCGCTCGCCCCTCTGCTCCCTCCTGTCTCCAGCAGCCTCCTTCGCGTCCCTCTGGCCTCGCAGCTCCGCTGCCCCATCCCTCTCCTCTGCTTTGCCCCTCTCTTCTCACCACATGCACCACCTTTTCCCCCCTTCTTGGCGCTCTTTCCTTTCCCCCCCCAGCTTAACTTTGCCATGATGTCACTGAGCATTATTACTGTTTTCCCCCCCCCTCCTCTTCAGAAGAGGACATCGAGGTGAACGACCCGCTCCTGCGGTTCTTCGAGCACTGCGAGAAGTTTGTGGCCCTGGTGGAGGAGAACGCCACGGCCATGCACCAGGTGGAGGCCTTCAAGGAAGGGCCGGAGATGAGGCGCGTCTTGGAGCGCGTTGCGGGCGCCTTGTGCTTGCCCGCGGACGAGCTCAACGCAGGTAAAAGGAAACCCAGAAAAGGGGCCTGTTTTCGTGCACTTGTGCATCAAAACACACGTCTGAATGAGTCTTTCATGCTATAGTGACGAGGGCTTTGCCTTGAAGGCTATAAACAAGTGGCTCTTCATTCTGCCTTGGTGCACCAGGGGTAGTTTATGTGTCCAGGTGGTATCTTTGCGTGTCCAGAAGAGAAGCGCCAGGTTGTGCTCGTGTTTATCTTGAGTTTAAGCGATGGGGGACACTGAAATAGGTGCTGCTAGTTGAAGAGGTTCCCGTAAAGGTGCCAAGCTGATACCCATCCCGTCACATGGAGGCCGAGTAGTGGGAGTCGCAGGCGATTCTGTGCTGAGTGGACTTGTCTTGGTTGCATTGATGCTTCTGACACCTTTTATGGTGAGAAAGGATGCATTACCAGTCAGTATCTACAGCACATAATTAGAATTTGATCTTAATGGTCCTTTTTTGTGTGCACCAATGCAACGTGGAGAAGCCTGCAATCCCCAATTTGGTTTTGCGCACTGTTTCTGTTGTTGAAAACACTCTTCTTTTAGCATTTTTATTTTTAATTTTAGTGCTTGGCCTTTCGGTAAGCAGTTATTTATTAGATCCTGCTGGTTATTTCCATCGTTAGATACTAATTACCTCATGCAGGGGGAGAAGTTGGGAGGAAGCTTTCAGTTCCTAGCGGTGGTTTAACTTTTCACGTGCTCCTTGGGTGTCCTGCAGATCTCGTTCAGGTGGCTTTTCTCACCTGCTCCTACGAGTTGGCAATAAAAAACGTCACCTCCCCGTGGTGCTCTCTCTTCAGCGAAGAGGATGCCAAGGTAGGTGCTGGSTGTTAAAGAGGCTGGGAAACGTATGGGGGGTGGCCCGGCGTTCAAACACCACTTCTGACCGCACAAATAATAATTACGAATTTCTGTGCCTGTTACTCTTCCGCCTAATGAAGCACCTCGGTCTCCAAAGAGCTCTGGATTAATCAAACAGCAAGAGAATTAAATACTGCTGTAGCCTTGCTTTGCCCTGATTAAAATGGGCTTTTACTGTTGTGCTTAACTCCTTTAGTGCTTTCTTCTCCTGTAACGTCTGAAGCGCCCTGGGCAGCTCTGTTTCACATATGGTAGAATACRATATTTCTCGTATGATAAAATGCCTTGATTCTTGAGGGTGAGGGGATGGCACGTGTGGTCTTCTGGGCCCTCTAAAATCCCCCTGCCCTGCTTTTTCTTTAAAGAAGGGCTCTGGGGCCGAACAGATTCTAGTTAATGAAACTGTTGGGACTACTGACTCCGTGCAGTAATACAACCCTGTCTCCTCTGTAACTACAGGTGCTTGAATACCTGAATGACCTGAAGCAGTACTGGAAGAGAGGATAYGGCTACGACATCAATAGTCGCTCCAGCTGCAGTTTATTCCAGGATATCTTCCGGCAGCTGGACAAAGCAATGGAAGAGAGCAAAAGGTAAATAAAAAAAAGGAGGTTGAGCTTTGACTGCACGCTTTCCGTGGCTGGTCTTCAGTTGGATTTAATGTGGATAGAAGCATTCTGTTCCAAAGATGACAATTGTTAAGCTCAGTGAGAAGAGTTTGTAAGAGAGAGGCTCCAAGTGTGGACAGAGCAGTTTTTCTCTRCGGAGCATGTTTTTTCCTCCATTGATGTTCTTGTGGCTGGCCAGCTTGTCTCGGTGTCCTAACTGGTTAATCCCTGCTGCTTCTGGTAACGGTGTCCTCCTCCTGGTCAGTGGGAGGAAGGACAATTGGGCTAAAACAAGTAACATGTTGTTTAAAGCGCCTTTGTTCTAAAAGTGCTGCGATAAAACGGCAGACTAGGGGCTAAAAATACCTSTGCCTTCTCTCTTCACCTGCTTGTCTGGAGTCTATGGCGGTGTCAGAACCTGCTTGTTAGAATAAAGGTGCCAAGTCCAGACTGATCCAAATACTTAGTGACTCGAGACCTGCGCTGAGTGTTGCAAGAGGCCTGAGCTGTAGCTGGAAACCAGCAAAACCATCCACTCGGCTCCCTTCAAAATCTGGAGGCAGTGGAGATTCCTGTCCAGAAATGCTTGCCAATGTCTTGCAAATCCCAAACCAATGCTGTGGGATAGGTAGTTCAAGAATGTTTACTCTTCAGCAGCAAAAATGTAATTTTAGAAGCAATGTAGAGTAGGAAGATCTTAGACTTTACGAGGAATTAATAGTAGACTTGAAGGTAACTTAACCTGGTGTGTTCAAGGATGCAGATCTGGCAAAGTGGCTTGTATTCAGCTCGTTACATGAGTTGACAAGTCACCAGTGGAACAGTGACTGGTGTCTTAGTCCCCAGAACAGCTTTTCTAGTGCCATGCAGRTACATTCTTAAAAAATAAGACATGCTGCTTTTCTGCGTGGTTAACTCTGAGCTGATGTCAGTCAGCACTAATGATTCAGTGTCGGTTTGGTCTTGATCTTGTCCTCTGTGAATCCATATGATGGGGGCAACTTAAAGGACCTATAGGCATGGAGAAAACAATAAAAAACGAAAAACAAAGGCATCAGTAAAGCTGCAGGATGGGACATTTCCAAGCTGCAGGACCGTGTGTATTTTCAAATGCTGCTCATGACTCATTGGTGCTCCTGGCTGCTTTGAGTGATTTTTTTTTTTTTTTTTTTTTCCAATGTGGTAACCTGCTTTAAAAAAAGCATTTTCCCTTTAGTTGTCTGACTAAAATTAGAAGTGACATTCATATTTTGGAATCAGAGGAATAATTCATGAAGTTGATTTGGAGCTATTTGCAGCAGAGAAGATGTCAAAGAAGTCGTGTCCGTTAATGTTTGCAGAGTGAGGAGGATCTAACTGGGACATTTACAGTGATAAAAGAACTAAGTTTTGAGTCAATTAAACTGTAGTTCTCAAATATTTGGATAAGTRGCCAGTGTCTTAAAATTGCCTTTGGGTAAATTACCTTTGGGTACTGAGACTGATGAGTCTAATTTTGACACAATCAGCTCAGTATGTGAGAAGTTAAATGCKTTTAACTTCAGCCTTTTGAGGTGTACGTGATGACTTTGACTTTTCCAGCCTCTACGGAAATCTTCAGCCGAAATACTGCAAGTAAATGGGCTAATGTGCGAAATGGGGGTTCAATTTTACCATCTCCCATGCATTTAAGCTTCTGTCATGTCTACTTATATATATGTATTTTTTTTTTTTTAACTTTGAGCAAATAACCGCATGACTGGGATGTGCGGATAGGAGCATATAGGTCTGCTGTTAAATCACCTTTTAAATAGAGGTCTTCCTTCTGGCTTTTCTTCAGCCTACCTGGGAGCAAAATCTAAAATACATTAGGCCATTGGTCATTAACATGGAGCTGTGCCCAGGCTGTTGAGTGCACTGCTGTGATTGCCCCTCTGTCCATCTCTGCATCCAAGTAAAACCAACACAGAAAATACGAACCAGGAGTAAGAGCAGAAAGAAAAGGTTTAAAAAAAGAAGAAAGAAAGAAAAAAAAATAGGCAAGAGCCCTAAAAATCTCTCTCTCCTTCTGAAACCTGGGAAATAACTTCTTAATGTAGCTTGACTCTGGTGAGGAGGAGGAGGTTCTCAAATATGTTTGCTTTTGGTGTCGTTATTCTTTAAGCAGTGACAGCCTTGCAGGTTTCAATACTTACATTATATACCTTAGTCAAAAAGCTGCGTTTTAGCTGTGTGTAAGATAGCCCTCTAAGCTTAATATAAATATACAACATTGACAAAATCCATAGCTGAGTTGCTGAGAATTAGCTGACCCTCCTTAAGGGCTAAGGTGGAGTGGGCTCCTGGGGAACGAGCAGATGCTGGGGGCAGAGAGCCAAGGACCGAGGCGGCTCCATCCCATCGCATCCCATCCGCTGGCTCTGCTGCCGGGATCCCAGCCGTTCCGGCGGCGCCGGAGCGCGAGTCCGCGGCACGACGTCAGGTGGCAGCCGCGCGGCGCCCGGAGCTGCCTCYGCTCTAGGGAGCGACCTGCAGGGCCGAGGCGCAACCGGCGCTCGCTGCTCTCCGGACTCGTCCCGTCGCTTGGGAATACAGTGCGTCGTCACATGGAAAGCGGAGCTCGGATGCGCGTGCATCCACGGGCGCCTCGGTGCCGTGGCCCAGCTCCAGGGCCGTGGGCTGGATGCTCCCGCTGAGCTCCTTACTCAGCACATCCACCCTTTCAATGGTGCTGTCCCTTTCAGTTGGATGTTGCTCCCGTTCAGCAGCGTTCAGGGTTGATGTGGTTTGTACTGTAAATGGAGATTTCCCTGTAGAGCCTTGGGTTTGGTCAAAGCTCTCCTTTTTGGAGAGTTTAGACTACCTAGAAGCAGAAGGGAGAGCACTGCTGTTTGCCTGCGCTTTTGTCACACCAGTGTCGAAGGAAAGAGCTGATTTGAAGTACTAAGGGCCTCTCCCATGTGGGTCTTGCAGTACAGCAAGGTGCCTTCGAAGGCCTTGGCAGGCACGTCCACTTTGGGCTACCTTCCTGTCATCAGTCTCCATCTAGAAAGCATCTCTTGGACCTTGTGATGGGCACAGTGAGTGGTCCAGGACCTCCCTAGGTCCTCCCTACCTTCTTGCCTGGTTGATGCGAAGTGAAATAGTCACATTTCTATGGGAAAATGGGGACCTCGTAGGCTGCACTAGCAGGACCTTCTTGTGTGTAAAAAGCTTCTTCATTACAAAAAGAAAAAGGGTTTAATAT